CAAAAACCTTTCTGAAACCAAAGACACTTGGGCCCCTGTGTCCCAAAGCACATTAACTTCTTTATTGTCTAATTTCCCCAATACTATGCATTCTCTACCGATTATCTGTACCAGTTTATTCTGTTGACTTGGAGTCAGGTGGGTTGCAAAGAATTCCAAGTCTGCATTGTCTTTCGTATCCTTATGATTAATGCTTTGCAAGGCAACACATGTTGCTTTGTGATCATGCCAATGTTTCCTTTGACATTCCCGGTCACAATAATAAACAGCTTTGCATTGTTTACAACGAAGGATAGTGTCATGTACTTGGAGTTTTTTGCAAAACGCACATTGAGGGGACGTTTGTTCTATGTTCTTGGCCATCTAGTGTCCCTCGGAAATGGCCCCTGTTCGTTTTCCGCCTTCCTTTGTGGGCAGTGACTGGCTAAATGTCCAGCCTGACAGCAAATAAAACAATGTCTCCAAGTATTTCCATTGTTTTCTCTCCTACATTTGGGGCAACCCCGTGGATATCTTGGCTGGAACGGTGCATTACTCTAGACGCCTGTTCCTCAACCTTTGCTTTAAGGGAACTTAATTCAGACTTTATTCCCTTGATCTCTGCGAGGAGGTCCTGTTTTTCACTGGCTTCTGGGGATGTCCCCTTTTTCCCTTTTGCCCCCTCAACAGAACTCACCTTGGCACTTTTCGCAGACAGCCTCTCTGTTAAACCAAGCTTGTTTTCTCTCTCGGTCTTTTGGAAGGCAAGTTCATTGATGCTTCGCATAAGTTCCTCATCAGACACACAGTCCTTTCGTAGAATTGGTCGTAAACTAATTGTCAGATAATCATCACGAATTCCAGTTTCTAAAGCTGTCAGAAAAGTATTCTGGATTAACTGGCTACCATATTTGAAATCAGTGTCTGCTTCCTTACTAGCAAAAACAACTTTATTTCTTGCATCCATAATTCTTAACAAGAACTGTTACACACTTTCTTTGGGTTTCTGGCACATTGTAGTTAGTTGCTGGTACAATTCCAAAGCTGTCTTCTCGCAATAATGGATCCTTAAGATCTTTCGTAGTTGGGGAAGACCAAGTTCTGGCATTGTCTCAATGTAACTACGGAGGCTTGTGTATTTTCGTTTGAGCCCTGATTCAATCTGGTGATTGAGAGAGATATATGTCAGTTTTTCTGCTTGTCCTGGTTCTCCAATCTGCCCCGATATCTTAAAGTCTCTTCTCAACAACGCCCAGGTACTTGAAGGCACTTCAATCACTGATGCGTTTTCACTACTGTTTACTTTGACTTTGGCAGATTTATCATTAACTCCAATTTCCAATTTATCTATCTATCGCTTGCATTTCTAACAATTGTTTCTCTTGTTGGCTTTTTAACTGTTCATATTCCTGTTGCAACTTTGACAATTCTCCTTCTTTCTCATTTACTGGCGATAATTCAGGAGAGCTACCAAGCGTTAAAAAAACATCGTTCAAAAGTTGATTTTTCGCCGTCGGGCTTTCAATTCCTTCGACAATTTCTTGAAGCCATCTCCGTACTAAATTTATGACTTGACCCCTCGACTTTTCCTTCAATTCTTCGATCTTTTCATACTTTAACTTCTCGGCCGCATTCAATAACACATCCACATCGTTTTTATAAAGTAACTCTTCCACTTTTAGTTGTAATTCCTCGAGATTCTCCATAGTATAACCAAATGAAGCAGAGTCAAAACCCTTTCGTATCGTCTTACATAATGTCGCTTATATTTCCACCAAAATCGGCTTTAATTCCATCCCTAAACCAGTTGGCAGCCCCATGTTGGGCGCCAAAATGTTACTCCTATTTCCCTTCACGTATGGAACATAACGATTGCAAAAGATATATATTTTATTACTAACAAAATGTGAACTATATAAACTCTCGTTTTACATGTGCTCGAAGCAACTCTTAATCTATATATTGTCCCGCGAGTGTCCCACGCATGATTCTTGCGTAATCATACAACTAAGGGCAGGGGCCCTACAATAACAAATGCTAGAGAAAAGGCGTGTGTATTAAATGAGTATTTTTGTGCTCATTGTAGATTGGACAGTGAAAGTGTTGCACTACCTCCACTTCCAGACATAACTAATTCAAGATATATTATCGATTCTAATATAACCACTACTGTAACTTAAGTCAATAATTTATTAAAAGGTATTGACATTTCTAAAGCTGTGGTGTTGATGGTGTTGGTAACCATTTACTCAATTTAAGTGCCGATGGAATCTCCCAGTCCTTTGCAGGTGTTATAAATATTTCTTTTTCAACTGGAGTTTTTCCAAAAGCATGGAAATTTGCAAATGTTATACCAATTTTCAAAAAAGATAATCATCAACATAAGGAAAACTACTGTCCTATTTCCCTTCTACCTGCACTCTGAGAAGATTGTATTTAATCGACTTTATAATTTTTGTTATATATCAATTTTCGAAGCCCCTACCAATCTAGTTTTAAACATACAATCGCGTGCAAAAATAATTAGACTTTTCACATTTTGGGCCATTTTAAAGTACGTCGGCCTGCCGCCATGATCAATGTTGGAAAAAGTGGGTTGAATTTTCTCTTTTCAGTCATCCACACAACATTGAATTGGGGGTGAGGAGGGCACTTATGCGGTTGTCTCAATAATTTTTGCTCCTGATTGTCTCTATTTGTACTTTTGAATAAAATGCAATTCATTCATGTTGATTCAATTTAGTGCTCCAGGGAAGACGCTGACTTCGATTCCTTGCTTAGTGATTTAGTGAACCTTTTGCTATATATTTTTTCTCAGTGGTTTTCTATAACTGAGTACTTCATGTAAAAAGAATATAGGGGATCTTGAGAACTATAGTTATTTTTTGTTAGGAAAGGACGATTAATTGATAAATATATACATTAGAAGAAAATTATAAAATAATCAATAAAATTCAGACTATTTTTTCCCATGGCTGACAATCATGAGTATATATTTTTTTCTCAAACAGAATATTTTCTTTAAGTTCAAGTATTTTATAACAGACAACGCATCGTTCTGACCTACTTGTATACAATTTTGGAAAATTTTCAATGATTTTCCTACTTTTAGCTGAATTGTTATGTAAGATTGACATACTCACTAGATGTTAAACCCAATTCAAGCATTTTATTTATGTTGATATATGGACTTACCGATCGTAAACTTGCACTAGAATTTATTGCAAACTTCCATGTCCTATGATTTGGGGATTATGTGAGATGAGCTCAAGCAAATCTGGTAACACATGCACAAAATATCAATCTATTTTTACATACTGATTATAGACACGTTACACACACGTTACATAATAATCTGTAGTAAAACATATAGAGATACGACACGTTACACCAATTGTTATTAAAAATAAATATATATATTTATTTTTAAAAACAATTGGTGTAACATGTGTAACGTGTCATATTTCTATATATTTTACTGTAGATTATTATGTAAAGTAGGTGTAACGTGTGTGTAACGTGTCAGCGTTTGCTTAATGAAGTCAAGTGCATAAAATTTACATGAACTAATCACTTTAGATTAGTTGGTGAACATCCCACAAGCACAACAGCACATACTGCAGTATAAATGACAAAGTTTTCTCATTTTTCGTCAAATGGCTAGGCTGAGGAACTCTCATATAATGATTCCCTCCTGAGGAAATGATGGCTAATTGAGCTTGAAAGGACATAAGAGTAGTTAAAACACTACATTAGATTTTTATGGCTTATTGGATGTGTTGTTACTATATTGCAAAGTATTTTAATAAATCGTGTATAGCCTACAACTTGTCTATTTTCCCAAAGATTTTTTCTAGTAAGTAAATTATAGTAAAAATTAAATTTGTTAGAAAAGCTTCTTTATTTTTGCCTGGTCCCCCCCAGCCTCCTTGCAGAATTTCTACATTTTGGCGGACAAAAAAACTTGAAATATTGAAATATATCAATCTCATGTCATCTTACCCCCAGACAGCTCCATCTCAGACAATCGTGTGCAAAAATAATGAAACTTTTCACATTTTTGGCCATTTTAAAGTACGTTGGCCTCCCCCCTGCCTCCATGATCAATGTTGGAAAAAGTGGGTTGAATTTTCTCTTTTCAGTCATCCACACAACATTGAATTGGGGGTGAGGGGGGCACTTATGCGGTTGTCTCAATAATTTTTGCTCCTGATTGTAGTGATTCCACAGTAAACCGGCTAATATATATTGTTCATAAAATTCATGAAGCATTAGACTCGGGAAACAAAGTTAGGATGGTTTTTTAGACATCAGTAAAGCCTTTGACAAAATTTGGCATAAAGGATTAATCTTTAAACTAAAATCAATAAGTGTGAGGGGTCCTCTACTTAATTGGATCGTTAGTTGTCTCAGAGGAAACAGAGGGTAGTTATTAATGGACAATCATCTGATTGGGGTGACATAGAAGCAGGTGTTCCCCAAGGATCTGTATTAGGTCCTCTACTTTTTCTAATATATATGTAATGTTTACAACATGAGTGGCCGTGTTGTATCGGATATACAAACTCTAGCCGAAGGCGAGAGTTTGTATATCCGATACAACACAGACGCGAATGTTGTGTAAACAACTTAAAAAACGACTCATTTTATGAGTTCATTGGCAAAGTAATTTTAAAAATAAACGTTGTCTAAGCCGAGAAAATCAAAGTTATAGTTTATGTAAATCAACATGAATCTGTATCACATATACAGATATGACACGCTTATGATTTTTCTTTGTGTTTTCTTCATGAATTATTAATGAGTTTTTTAATAATATATATTAACGATATTACAACAAGTTTTCACAGTAACTGTTTTCTTTTTTTCTTTGTCCTTATTTCAAACTGTTAGTGATCCTCATACTATGTCTATATCTCCTAAGTGAGATCTTGAAGAGATCGAGTCCTGGTCACATGATTGGTTAGTCACTATTAATGCTGAAAAAAACTGAGTCTATTATCTTTTCCACTAAACATATTAAGCCCTATCATCCTCCACTATCTTACAATAACACTAAAATAAAAGAAGTCTCAAACACATTCATTTGGGTGTCACTCTTACCTCAAATCTTTCATGGAAATCGTATATTCTTAAAATATATGAGAAAGTTGAACTTTTTGAAGGGCCTTAAATTCAAAATTCATAGAGCTACGCTAGATAAATTATATAAGTCATTAATAAGACTGATTGTGGAATATGCCGGTGTCATGCTAATGAAGCCGAGCTTCTTGAATCTTTCCAATATGAAACCGCTATTGTGGTCACTGGTGCGATGAGGGGGACTGGCAGACAGGCGTTGCTAAATGAGCTTAACTGGGTTACTTTACAAAATAGAAGATTAGGTCATAAACTTATTTTATTTTTTAAGATTGTTAATAATTCAACTCCTTTATATTTACGTAGTGTCTTACCACGCAGGGGCGCACATTAGGGGGGGGGGTTGACACCCCCAGCTTTTCAAAATCGGTCTAAAGTCGTTCCCGAAAAAATGCATATCAGATAACCAGTTCGGTCCCCGAACATCCGATATACTAGGTAGATATATTTATGTAATTAAGATAAATTAAAGTTGTTCATCTTTTTTATCATATTTTCTTTACTTAAAGAGATTGTAAACAATGTCTCATATGTCTTATCTGGCGGCTGGCACATCAAACACGCAATCGTTAAAAATGACGAGAATACTGGATTGCAAAATCAAGAAAATACTGGATAGTTGGCACTAAGATCTAAGAAGAATATTAAAGACTAAGAATTCATTCCAGGTATGTTCTGTATGTATATTTTATACTGAATTGGCCAAATGGCTAGACACGTGCTTGAGCTTCTTATAATATATCAAACGACTACGTATAAGTGTTAAACTGTAGGCCACTTTAACTATAATCGACGCACTTATTTTTTAAGTAAATATAATTGCCAAAA